TTCTGTATCCTAAATTTAAGTTGTATAAAAATCACACAAAAATTGAACATTTTCTATATCCTAAATTTAAGTTGTACAAAAATTGCATACTTTTAATATGCTTTGAAAAACTTCACAGCTATTTTTATCCAAAAATCTGCAATAATTGTACAATTTCCACACGGACTTGAACAAATATTGTACAAAAATTGGATGATTTTTTTTCATAGGGCATGTAAAACTCGTAGATTTCCATAAAGGTAATATGATAAAATTGCTACCGCACTTTTAGCGAATGTTATAGTGCCTGTACAGTCAAGATAAATGTGCGTTTCTGTATTATATTTTGTGAATTTAAAGAACTAAAAGTATACTTTTTTCCGTTGTTTAGTCATCTTATTTAATAGTTAGGAAAAATGGCTAGGAGGAAAAAAAGGAAAAAGGAATGTACTTACATGAATGTTAAATTAAAGAAATAGTTAGTAATATTGATGCCTCTTTTTTCTTCATCAAACAGCTTTTTGAATTACAATCCATTAGATGTATTCTAATTACCATAGTAAAAATATTAGGGTTAACAATCAATTTCTTTTTTCATTTAAAATGCAGCTATACATATGAATGAGAAATCAGGATTTTAATATTTTCCCACGTTCAGTTAAATATCTGGCATTCTGTCAGGTGTTTATCATCTCATAATCTCATCGACGGTCTATCATCAAAAACATTAATTGCTTTCTTCCTAATGAATCAAAAGAGCTTCTACATAAAAATGAAATTTTATTTCAAAAGTACCACTATTTATTTATGAAGTTTTTTACTTAGGAGATCAGTGAAATTAGAGATGTTTAGAAGATAGAAATGGTTTAAGTCCCAAATAAAACTATCAAAATTTTTACAATTCTAATTTTTCTCTGAAAAAATTTACTTACAGTATTACCGTATTACAACCATCATTTTCATATTAATTTCCATTCCCTTATTTTTTCTGGTGCAGTAGATAGATCTTTCAGAATTATGTTGCGGGTCAAATTTTCCTTCTAATTTTTTATCAGCATTCTCAAGTATACCAAAATTTTTCCAATCAATTTCTATAAGCTCTCATATTGACATTGTGAATGAGTTAGAAGAATTAATTTCTTTAAAGTATATTTATCGTAGAGTAAAAAACAGACAATAGCCTTTTCCTATTCGGTAATCTGTCGTACTCTCTGAAATATAGTGGTACAATTTTTTTTTATATTTTTTAAAATAATGTGCCCCATAGACTCCCGGTCAAACGATCATCAAAACACTTGCAAAGTATACTCTTTTTTGGTTGTGATCAACACGAAAAGTTTGCCTGCGAATTTAATATCTTAGATTTTAGATTATAGATTTAATAATAAGAATAATGAAT